GGGGAAGGAGGGGTAAGACCTGCGGTGTTAATACTGAGGTTCGGGGAGACAAGGGAGGGTGGGAGGCTCGGGGAGATAGGGGGGAAGAGGGAAAGACGGGGGAAGGGAGGTTCGGGGAGATTGATTGATTGATTGATTGATTGATTGATTGATTGATTGGTTGGTTGATTGTTGTTGTTGTTGTTGTCGGTCTTTTGTAGCGAACCGTTGTCGTGCTCCTATCTTTCGAACTTTCGGGGGGGGGAGGTCTGGGAGGAGGTTCGGGGAGCGTGGGGGAAGACGCGCGGTGTTAGGACAGACGTTCGGGACGAGGTTCGGCACGGGGGCTGGGGAGGTCCGGGAGGACGTTCGGGGAGGGAAGGGGGAAGGCGCGCAGCGGGAGGAACGACATTCGGGGAGACAAGGGAGGGTGGGAAGCGCGGGGAGATAGGGGGGAAGAGGGAAAGAAGGGGGGAAGGGAGATTCGGGAAGATTGATTGATTGATTGATTGATTGATTGTTGTTGTTGTTGTTGCTGTTGTCGGTCTTTTGTGGTGAACTGTTGTCGTGCTCCTGTCTTTCAAACTTTCTGGGGGGGAGGTCTGGGAGGAGGTTCGGGGAGGGTGGGGGAAGACGCGCGGTGTTAGGACAGACGTTCGGGACAAGGTTCGGCACGGGGGCCGGGGAAGTCCGGGAGGACGTTCGAGGAGGGAAGGGGGAAGGCGCGTAGCGGGAGGAACGACGTTCGGGGAGACAAGGGAGGGTGGGAAGCGCGGGGAGATAGGGGGGAAGAGGGAAAGATGGGGGGAAGGGAGGTTCGGGGAGATTGATTGATTGATTGATTGTTGTTGTTGTTGTTGTTGTCGGTCTTTTGTAGCCAACTGTTGTCGTGCTCCTATCTTTCGAGCTTTCGGGGGGGAGGTTCGGGGAGATTGGTTGATTGATTGATTGATTGATTGATTGATTGATTGATTTTTGTTGTTGTTGATCGTTTGCAGTCCGCTATTGTCGGGGAGATAGGGGGTGATGGTTTGCTTAATTGTTTTCAGTGAGCAGACCGGTGGATGCGGATAGAGAGTGGACGAGGGAGAGCGTTGAGGGAGGGAGAGCATTGAGGGTTGTTGAATGAACTGACTTTAACCAGCATTGTTCCTTCCGCTTTCGTCGTTTCGTTGCAGGATGACGAAGAGCCGTAGTGAGGCCATGAAGAAGCACTTCACGGAAGTGGGGGACAGCGGCAGAGCCGACAAGGGTAACAAACAACAGATGTGCAATTATTCTGACAAGCCTGTGGCCGGGACAGCGAGCAGGGCAAGGGACCATTTCTTGAAGGGTTCGCGATGCGATGTCGAGCGCCTGCTAAGTGTGTGCCGAGAGAAGAGTACTCGAGGAGGGTGAAGCGGAGATTGGCTGCGAGGTCAGAGTTGGGAGCCGTTACGGGAGAGACTATCGAGGGGGGGTCATCGGAGGACGACAACGAGTAGCGGACTGTAGAAGGCGGAGTGGTCGATCGATCGGAGTCTGCGGCAGGGCTCCGTCATGCGACTCCCCAGTCGTCCACAAGTGTGGTCGGCCTCCGTCAAACAACAATGGAGGACAGTGCTGCCGTTATCATGGCACACGAGCAAACACAGCGCACAGTGGACAACTGGATGACGGCAGAATGCATCCCATTCAATATGATGCGGAGCGAGTACTAGGACAGAATGGTGCATGCACTCATGAATGCGCCCAAAGGATTCCGGTACGCAAAATTCGAGAGTGCAAGGACAAAGAGGGTTGAAGTGACGAGGGGGAGGGTCGCGATGAGGGTGGAGGAGCTGCGGTAGGAGTGGCCAACCACTGGCTGCATGTTGCAGCTTGATGGTTGGACATATCGCTGACAAAGACCACACATCAATGTGATGGTCTCCTTCCTGAAGGGCTCTATCTTCTGGGGAAGTGTGTGCATGTCAGGGCGCAACAAAGGCGCCTCGGCATACTATGGCATTCTGAAGAGGGCAATAGAGGAGATAGGTGCGGAGGCAGTGGTGGGGGTCGTTATGGACAATGCTGCCGTTTGTGCAGCTGCGGGGCGAATGGTGGAAGCGGATCACCCGCACATCTTCTCGGTCCCATGCACAACTCACTCGCTCGACCTCATTTTCGAGTCTTTCGCGAAGATCACGTGGGTGGGCGAAGTTATTAAAAGGGCGTCGGAGGTAGCAAAGTTCTTCACGAACCTTTCGCGGGTGCGGGATCGCCTCCTCCACTACTCCAATGGCAGCGTCGTGGCAAAACCGGGTGCGACCCGATTTGCCACGAACTTCATCATGCTGTCGAGCCTGCAGGGGTTGTACTTGCCGCTGCGAGCGTGTTTGACGGACGATGATTGGAAGCTAGCGATTGTGCACACTTCACAACACGAACTGTTTGTGAGGGTGACACATGCCATCTTCGATGACACCTTCTGGGCAGATATCGAGAAGGTGATGCAAACGTCCGAGAACCTCCTCAAGCTTCTGAAGAAGGTCGACGGCGCGGGCCCCACCATCAGTAAGGTGTACGCCCGTATGGACAGCGCTGTGGAGAAACTAAGGGAGAGCAGGCACTTCACGAAAGCAGAAAAGGATGATCTAGAGGCTATAATAATGCGGCGCTGGAATACAACGACTTCACCACTGCATTGTGCTGCGCTGTTTTTGGATCCGGAGTACAGAGCGTCGCGGCCGGAATCCGATGCAGAGATTGTGGACGGGTTTTGGACATGGCTTTACTCGTGGTGCAAGGAGGCTGCGTACAGGGAGGTCGACGCGGAGGTCTGTTCTTGGATCGAGGGCACCGGGAGGCACACTACCGAAAATGCAAGGATACAAGCCCGTACGATGCAGCCGGCGAGGTGGTGGCGGAAGTGGTGCAGCGATATGCCCATCTTCCAAAAGCAAGCCGTTCGGCTCCTTGGACAAGGCCCCTCCTCCTCTAGTTGCGAGAGGAATTGGAGCTTGTTCGAACGGATTCACAGCCGTCTCCGCAACAATCTTGGCGCCGTCAAGATAAGCACGCTGGTTTTCAACAGATGGAACCAGCACTTGTTGGGCTTCTTGACCAAGAAACCGAAGGCTGACGATGCGGCGAAGTGGGAAGAGGATGAGCCGGTGGAAGATCTCACACGAGATGAGATGGCGTCGGATGCACGCCTGCGGTTGGGAGAGTGGAGTGCCCGCTTGCGCGGAACACATTCGGTCCACGACGAAGGTGAGAATGACGACTCGGGCTCAGACGAGGAGGACATTCCTGTCCAAGCGCAACAAACGGCTGTTGAGGAGGAGGTCACAGTTCAGCATCGTCGGCTGCGCAGCGAGTTGTTCGAGCTCGAGAGGGAGCTCAACGAGTCGTGGAGGAAGGCAACGAAAGCTTCCAAGTTTTTGGCCCGGCAGCATTTGCATGACTTGGATCAGGCTACGAGGACCATGACCCCCGAGCATGCCAACAAGTACAAAGCTGCGCGGGCTGCTGCATGTGCACCACCCTCCGTACCCGCCAAACGAGGGAGAGGGAGACCTCGAAAGGACGCTGCGACTCATGGGGGGACAGGTGACGAGGAAGTTGAGGATGCGCAAGGTGGAGATTTGGAAGGGGCTGGTGCACCCACACGTGCGACAAGAAACCGGGGACGACCACGAAAGGCGCCCGTGGAAGAGGAGGAGGCTGGAAATAGAAGGGGGACACGAAAGCGGGGATGTTTGCAGGTGCAGCCCGCCGAAGAGGAGGAGGAAGCAGCGCTTGAAAAGACGAGCAGCGCTGACAAACATGGCAGCAGCGGCGGAAGCAGCAGCAGCGACGAAAGCGGGGCTGAGCATAATGAAAATGACGGTAGCGCCGGCAGCGGAGGTGCGCGTGATGGCAGCGGCAGCAGCGATGAAAGTGGAGGTGGCCGTGGCAGCAGTGATGGAGGCGAGAAAGATGGGAGGTCGTCGGAGGAAGAGGACGACTCCGAATGCGAAGGCCAGTAGGAAGGCCAGTAGGGAGATGGGAGTTCGTCGGAGGCAGAGGATGACTCCGACTTACAGCGCAGTCAGACATCGCGCTGAAGAGAGAGAGAGAGAGAGAGAGAGAGAGAGAGAGAGAGAGAGAGACAGACAGACAGAGAGAGAGAGAGAGAGACAGACACAGAGAGAGAG